CACCAATTGGAAAAACTTTCGGGGATTGAGGTTCATGGAGAGGCTCCCAGCCTCACAGGAGACTTTCTTGGTGAGACCCACAGGGTCCGAGTATGTACACAAGTCAACCCACCTGGGGACCATCACCAGAAGGGCCCAATTTGCTTGTGGGACATGGCAGAGGGGACCTAAATCTGAGAGAGAGTGGAACAAATGCTATTGCTCCCTCTGATTCCGCCCCCCAAATACAGCATCACAGCCCAGCCACTGGGTTGCCCCACCCTGGTGAAGACCTAAGGCTCCACCCCTCATACATAACAGACATGAACAGAACAAAACATTATGGCTCAAGCAGAAGAACAACTCAAAGCCCCAGAGCCAATATTTCTAAGCAACAAAGAGATAGCCAGCCTATTGCATGCACAGTTCAAAACACTGGTGATCAGGATGCTCACAGAACTGGTTGATTTTAGTCACAAATTAGATGAAAAAATGAAGGCTACACTAAGTGAAATGAAGCAAAATGCACAGGGAACCAATAGTGATGGAAACAAAATGGGACTCAAATCAATGGAGTGGACCAGAAGGAAGAAAGAAACAACCAAACAGAAAAGAATGAAGAAATAAGAATTCAAAAAAAAATGAGGAGAGGCTTAGGAACCTTCAGGACATCTTTAAACATTCCAACATCCAAAGTATAGGGGTACCAGAAGGGGAAGAGGAAGAGCAACAAGTGGAAAGCTTCTTTGAACAAATCATAAAGGAGAACTTTCCCAATCTGGCAAAGGCAATAGACTTCCAGGAAGTCCAGGAAGCTCAGAGAGTCCCAAAGAAGGTGGACCCAAGAAGGAACACACCAAGGCACATCATAATTGCATTACCCAAGATTAAAATGAAGGAGAGAATTCTAGAAGCAGCAAGACATAAGGGGACAGTCACCTACAAAGGAGTGCCCATCAGACTGTCAGCTGATTTCTCAAAAGAGACCTTCCAGGAAAGAAGGGGCTGGAATGAAGTATTCCAAGTCATGAAAAACAAGGACCTACATCCAAGATTGCTCTATCCAGCAAAGCTTTCATTTAGAATGGAAGGTCAGATAAAGTGCTTTTCAGATAAGGTCAAGTTCAAGGAGTTCATCATCACCAAGCCCTTATTATATGAAATGTTAAAGGGACTTACCTAAGAAAAAGAAGATAAAAAATATGAACAGTGAAAGGACAGCAAACTCACAGTTATTCACAGCCACACCTAAAACAAAAGCAAACTAAGTGGACAGCTAGATGAGGAGAGGAACCATACAAATGGAGATCACATGGAGGGTTAGCAACTGGGGAGTGGGAGGAGGAGAAGGGGGAGAAGGTACAGAGAATAAGTAGCATAGACGGTAGGTAGAAAATAGACAGGGGAGGCAAGAATAGTATGAGAAATGTAGAAGCTAAAGAACTTGTGATGCATGGACATGAACTAGAGGGAGGGAATGGGGGGAGGAGGTGTGCAGGGGGAGTGGAATGAAGGTGGAATAGGACAATTGTAATGGCATAATCAATAAAATATATTTTAAAAAGAAACAGTAAAATTTCCTATCTCCTGGCTAAAGTAACATGAAAATTCACTCTATTTAATGCCTTTTACCCAATACATTATGTGCAAACTTCAACAAAAATATTCAACTACTGTGGAAAAAGACAAATGAAGAATCAATACCTGACTCAGACATGGCAAATAATTTGGAATTATCATACCATAAATTTAAAATAACTATGATTAATATGCTAATGACTCTAATGGAAAAATTGGGCTATATACAAGAATGTGTGGGTAACGTAAACATGTAGAAGGAAACTCTAAAAAATAATCAAAAGAAAATTAAGAAATCAAAAACACTAACAAAAGTGAGGAATAACTTTTAAAACTATATTTTACTGATTACGCTATTACAGTTGTCCCAAATTTCCCCCTTTATCCCCCTCTACCTGGTATCCCCATTCCCTCCAGCATCCCCCCCTTAGTTTATATCCATGGGTCATGCATATAAGTTACTTGGCTTCTCCACTTCCTACATTATTTTTGACATCCTTCTGTCTATTTTGTACCTACCAATTTGTACTTCTTAATCCCTGAACCTTTCCCCCCTTCTCCCCCTTCCCCCTCCCAGCTGATAACACTCTAAGTGATCTTCATTTCTGTAATTCTGTTCATGTTCTGGTTGTATGCTTAGTTTGTTTTTTTTAGGTTCAGTTTTTGGTAGTTGTGAATTTGTTGCCCTTTTAAAGTTTGTAGTTTTGATCTTCTTTTTCTTAAATAAGTTCCTTTGACATGTCCCATAATAATGGCCTCGTGATGATGAACTCCTTTACCTTCACCTTGCCTTGGAAGGACTTTGCCCTTTGATTCTAAATGATAGCTTTGCTGGACAGAGTAATCTAGGTTTTAGGTGCTTGCTTTTCATGACTTGGAATACTTCTTGCCAGTCCCTTCTTGCCTATAAGATTTCTTTTGAGAATCAGCTGACAGTCTTATGGGAACTCCTTTATAGGTAACTAATTTCTTTAGTCTTGCTGCTTTTGAGTATCTCTTTATCTTTTACTATTGGCATTTTACTTATGATATCTCTTGGTGCAGCCCTCTTTGTGTCCAACTTATCAGGGATTCTTTGTGCTTCCTGGGCTTGTATGTCTATATCCTGCACCAAAATTAGCATTTTTTCCTTTCATTCTTAAACAGAAATAGTTTTATTTTGTATTTTCCAACATGTGTGCCTTTAACTTCTTTTTCTTACAAGATTTCACTGGTTAGTATTTCTAGGAGTGAAGAAACAGACATTCTTAGATAATTCCCAATCTTAGCAAGAAAATATTGCCTTTTTCCATCAAATATGATGTTATCTATAGGTTTTTTATACATGTCCTTTGTCAGGTTGACAAAGACCCTTTCCTAATTTATTGAGAATTTCATGAATGCATGTACAACATTATCAAATATTTTCTGCATCTTTTGCAACAATTGCACAGTTCCTCTTCTTCAGTTTGTTAATATGATGAATTGCATTGATGAGTTGTGAGTGTTGAACTAGCCTTTAATTTCCAGAATAAATTCCACTTGCTCATAAAGTGTTATCTTTTGTAATACATTGTTAGATTTAATTTGCTAAAGTTTTGTTGAGAATTTTTGTATCTATGTTCATGAGGGATATTGGTATATACATTTTTCCTTATATATTTATCTCATGTTAGTATCAATGGAATGATTATATCAAAGATTCAGTTGGAAGTACACCATCCTCCCCATTTCTTTGAAATATTTGGTAGAATTTTTTAATTTGCATGTTTTATTTTCATAGTTTTTTATTGTATCTCTTTCCATTACTATTTATCCTCCTTATGCCCTCTTTCACCTCCCTATCCCCTATCTCCATCCCCCTATCTCCTGCCCCACATGTGAGGAAATCATATGGTATTTGTCTTTCTCTGACTGGCTTATTTTGCTTAGCATAAGGTTTTCCATTTCCATCCATGCTGTCACAAAGGGTAGTAGTTCCTTCTTTCTTACTGCTGTGTAATATTCCATTTCGTAAATGTACCACAGTTTTTGATCCATTCATTTACTGATGGGCACTTAGGCTATTTCTAGCATGTGACTGTCATAAATTGTGCTGCAAAGAACATTGGGGTACATAGGTTCTTTTGAACTGGTGTTTCAGGATTCTTAGAGTATAATCCCAGCAGTGGAATTGCCAGGTCAAAAGGCAGTTCCATTTTTAATTTTCTGAGGAAATTCCATACTGTTTTCCACAGTGGCTACACCACTCTGCATTCCCACTCACATTAGACCATTTTTCTATTGGATTTGCTGATCCTTTACTGGTTGATTTGAATAATTAAAAATGTTTCAGATTCAAATACTTCAGTTTTTGGTGATGTCTTCTCCCAGTTTCTTGCTCATCTGTCTTTTTTTTTTTTTACTTTCAATTTTGATCATTAGGGAAATGTGTACTGGCAAGTGAGGGAAATTAATGTGTTTGATAGAAGAGGAGTCTTAGGTTATTTTGGCTTTGTATCATGGGAATCAAGAAGTAGAAGAGGGTGGAAGACAAACCACATGGTTTTCAAATTTATTTACCTGTTATTTGTTGATTCCTTACATTTATTGGCCACAGTGTGCTATGCTATGTAATTGATAGAGCCTAAAGAAAAAAATGTTGCCTACTTTTGAGGACTTTTTATCCTGACACAGAAATAAGATGTAAAATAAGAGAAGCAATATAGTATGTGCCCAGGTAACATACTTATGGTCTAAGGTAAGCTGTGACTAGCAAAATTTCTATTTCAGTAAAAGGGAAGGAGACATTTTTTGTTACATGAGGAGTTGTTTATGCAATAACAAGTCTATTAAGTTGAATGAGAGCAAGGACTATGTGTCTTTTTGCTCCTTATTTTATCTCTAGCACTTAGTATAGAGCCTGACAAATAGTAAGTGCTCAAATACTTGTTTGATTATTGAATGATGTAAGCATTTGTGGACAAAGTCATTTATAGGGACCTAACACAATGTATTTAGTCCATCACCCCTATATCACCACCAGGCAACTCTGAGGATGTTCTGATAAATCAGCATTTCAGATATTAGCTTGCTTTTACAAAGCAAGGGAGCACAACCTTTTCCAAAAGAACACATGATGTGATTCTTTATTTTATCATTATAATACAGCCGTGGTCAAGATGTTGGCTTCACTGTCAGGTAAATGTGGGTTTGAGTCTCATGGCAGTTACTTGCTGGTTACATGACTATTGATTTTCCTCATCTATAAAATGAGACTAATAGTAGTGCCTACCTTACTTGGTCACTGTAGTATCAAATAAATAAAGCATATAAAACTCTGGGCCATAGTAGGTGTTCTGTAAATATTCCCTGTGCCTCTTCCCTTGATGTACACTAAAGTAGATAGAACCTGTGGTTGCTTTTGAATTTTGTGACATGGTCATGTTTTCTAACAGGTATATTCTTCATCTCCTTCCTCACAGATTCAGAGACATACTGCATGTTTCAAGACAAGAAGTACAGAGTGGGTGAGAGATGGCATCCTTACCTGGAACCGTATGGTTTCGTTTACTGTGTGAACTGCATCTGCTCAGAGGTACAATCCCTCATGGCATGTGATTTCCTAGTTTGCTTCCTAGCGTGAAGAGGTGCTTCAGTGCCCAGATGACCATGAGCATTAAAATCCTAAAAGAAGATAAGAAATAGATCACAAGGAAAAATATGCACCTTCTGTCTCTTTCCTCTGTTGCCTTTTGCTTAATTTCCATGGGATCTCTGAATATTTGCTATAGACATGTACTTATGGTCTCTTAGCTAAGTGATATGGGACATGATAGGAAAAGGCAGAGTAGTTTCATAGTGGGAGTTGAGAAAAAAAAAAAGCTCAATATAATGTCCGAATTGTAAGACAAAATTGTTTGTTGGAAACCATTTTTAGGTCTGGCCTTTAGAGAGAAGAATAGTGCACATTATTCACTGATTTATCGGGAGACTGTATTTTATGTTGTCTAAGCCAATAATTATTATTAGGACTGAGGTAGTGAAATCTTGGCCTGTACATGGTAAGGATTAGAGTTCTTTGGCTTGGCCTTGGCTCCTGTCAAGTACTTTGGAGAGGCATTTGGATAGCTTAAATGCTATGTTTGCAATAGACAACACAGGTAGTTCCATTTTCTTTCCATAGCCTTAACTCAGAACCACAGCTATAGTTCATTTTTCTGAACAGACCTCTACCACCATATTCAAGGCCAGCATTTCTCAACCTTGGCAGTATTGACATTTGAGGAACAGATAATTCCTTGTTGTGGTGGCTGCTTTGAGCATTACAGATGTCTAGCACCACCTCTGACCTCTACCTATCAGGCAATAGTTGCACTGACCCTAGTTGTGACTACCAAATATATCTCCAGACACGACCAAGGCTACTTGGGGAGCAGAGTGGACTCCAGCAGAGAACCACTGCACTAGGCCAATTGGGAAGGGAGGCCTTATACTGGGCTTTAAGAAGTAAGAATGCTGAACATATACAAAAGAATTTTGAAGTCTCTCATTTGAGACTTCATCGGAGAACTCAATTCTCCGTTAGTGCCCAGGTAGAACAGGAGCAGACACTTTTGCCATTTGAACAGAAAATTGGGCTTTCAGAATTTTGAGTGTGTGGAAACCTAGCTTTCAGACAATATCAGGTGGTGTTAAGAGGCTGAAGGCCTCTAGAGTCAAGACAGACCAAGTTTCCAAACCTGGCTCTGCCACCTATGAGCCATGTTACATTGGACAATTTACCTAACCTCTCTGAGATTCCTCCAGCTTCTTTAAAATGGCATAATGATATTACACATTTCATAGGGTTATAGTAAGGATTCAATGCACTAATTCATTTTAGTTACTTAAAATGGTGCTTGGTCACAGTCAACATTGAAGAAACATTAACTATTATTATCATCATCACTCTCATTATGGTCATTATCATTTTAATTAATTGATTAATTCTAGAACAGAATAAAGCACTAAGGAGGAATTAGTTAAGACTTCATCCAAGAGGAGTGGTTTCTGATGTGCTTTGATCTCACTTCAAAATGATACCACCTGTCTCTGAGGAGTGTGACACATAAGGGAGGCTCTGTGGTATTTCCAAAGGCAACACTCAAAAAACTTCTAGAAACTACATGAGAAAAGAAGGTATAAAATGAACCCTGTGTCTTTAAATGATTAGAGGAGCTCTTGGATAGAGCATCTGAAGACTGCCTAATTGCCTGGTATGGCATGATTATAACAGATTTTTGACCAACTTATTGGAAATGGACAGCTAACCTTTGAGGGCTGAGGCTTTGCTGTCTGTAGGACAGTGAAAATGTTTATATGATCCCAGTGCCAGTGAGATCATATTAACAGCTCAAGTGCTAGGCATCTTTTCTTTCTACATATTCTTCATCACCCACACCCCTCACAACAGCTTGACAGATAAAAGTAACCCTCACTTCAACTTAATTATGGATGGAAAGTGTTAATGCAAAGTTAATTAACACAGTTAATTAACACTCCCAGCTGTGGTTCTTCCTCCCTTTTCCACCCAGCCCACACTATCTCCCTAATTCCCCAGAAGGGAAACTTCCAGACAGAAATAACAATATGATTTCTGAAGTTTTCCTTTGTTCTAGGAATGGTTGAGAGCTATCAGAGCTAGGGATCTTGTAATTGTAAATTAGGCAGCGTCTTACTTGCCCCACCCAGATATACCAATTATACCAGCTAATCAGCTCAATTCCAAACTCTAGCTTGTTCTCAGAAAAATGTAGACTGAAAAGAGAAATGAAGAAAGAAGGCACTCAACATAGTGGACCAAAGCAGGGTTATTTGGAATCTAAGATTCATGTGCTAGGGATGTCTCCTTACCTGGGGGTATGTAGCAGCTCAGGGAACTCATGGCTTATTATCCCTTCCCTTCCATGGCATTGAGCAGGTAATTATGAAATCAGACTAGGCTCCTGGAAAATATGTGCAGTTAGAGCTGGGGAATGGTAGAAACACCACAGAGCTAAGCCAGAAGGAGCCTCCCAAAATTAGTGGAAGGCTTTGAAAACTGAAGTAGTAGTGATCCCATCTTAGAAAAATATGTCAATAAACTATCAGCCAACCCAGCAGAGGTGCTAATGATGAGAAAAGTAAAGAAAAATGCTGATTTCATTCAGCTTCTCAGGAATGTGTTATTTATTGTCTGGGTGAGTCCTTGCATGACTGTTTCCCGAACTGGCATGATGTCATTGACCTTTGAAAGGCATTTGATTTTTTCGTGTTGCCTCCTCTCTTTCAGAATGGAAATGTGCTTTGTAGCCGAGTCAGATGTCCAAGTCTCCATTGTCTCTCTCCTGTACATGTTCCTCATCTGTGCTGCCCTCGCTGCCCAGGTAAACTGATTTACCTCTTTCTTTCCCAGCTGTGGTTCTTCCTCCCTTTTCCATCCAACCCACACTATCTCCCTAATTCCCCAGAAGGGAAACTTCCAGACAGAAATAACAATAGGACACTTTTAGGCAGTCCACACTGGCCCCTAAATACTGTTTATAGCCCAAGCAGGGCACATTCTAGGCTCTAACAAGTTCTTGGGTACCCACTAACAGATTTTCACTGGGCTTTTAATCATTTGAAGGTGCAGTCAGTTGGGAGAAGGGAACTGTGGTCCAGGTATTTTTTGCTGTAAACAGCCTCTTTCTGCCACAAGTAATGTGTACCAGGGGAGTTGTAGCATGGCAAAATGTGTCCTATGCAGTTAGTGCTGGAATCGCATCTGAGCATAGCTTCTAAATGATGACGGTCTGTTCATAAATCAAAGGAGCTGATCCAGTGAGGTTTATGACAGTATAAAGCTGCCTGCCTGCTGAATAGTCACCTGTTCCAGACTGTAGTTACTATGTGTACATTATTAAGAGTAAATCTAAGGAGAAGGCAGGCAGAGACTTTTTCACTAGGCTGGTAGGATATCTATGCTTCCATGGTTTGTGGTTAGGGTGTTTATCTGAGGCAGGGGCTCCCTCAGTGCCATGTTGTTCACATCTGACTAGGGCCTGGCTCCCACACCAGAGGCATGTGTGTGCATTGATTCAGAGAATGTCTGTGGGGCCAACAACAGTCCTAGGAGAAGCTAAGAGACAGTCTTGAAAACTGGAAAGCAGAAGCCTTATAGTCCTCTTAAGTCTTTTTATGGTCTCCCTCTAGGGGGAAGGTTCTGCAGTTTGGGTTCATGGATAAGCTTTATGGGGTCAGGGACCCTTTTAAATTGTTTGTAGTCTTTGGTGTAACTACATATATGTGTACATTTCTTCAGGGAGGATCCATCACTTTTTCAATATTTTTAAAAGGACAGGACATGACCATAAAAACACGAAGAACCACTAATCTAGAGCATAGATGGCACTTTCCTTCGTAAAGAGTGAATTTATAAGAGAAATCAAACATGTTAGGGCAAAAATTATGGGAATGGGGTTAAGAACAAGGTTCAGTGAAAAGCCAGTTAACTGAAATGTTGCAGAAATGACTTTTTGTTTAGTGGAAAGAAATTCCCAACCCTTTTTGTCACCACCTTTTTGGAGCAGAGTGAACTTTCCTGCAACAATAAATGCACTCTGATAAACACAAGGGATTCTTTACCAGATGGCAAAAGATCAGGCCATGTCACAGACTTCTGAGTTTTGGTAATGATAGTATATTCTCCAAGAGGTAAGAGACTGACTCAACATATGAACTACCTAAAAGTTGTTTTTAGGAATCAATCCTTAAATGAATGAGGCTTACTATTTTTCTGTTTATTTGCTTCTTGTATCCTACTTTAACTGTATTACAAAGGATTGGTATAGGAGGGGTTTGGGTTGATCGGAGTGAAATTTTTGATAAACAGGGTAATCTGGGGAACTTTAAAAAAAATCTGTCAGGTTGATTGTCATACAGTATTATGAAAACTGGGTTTTTCCCCCTGGAAAGCTCCAAAAGTGGTCTAAACTCATAAGAATTTATCTAAACTATATATAGAGGTTTTTCTTCCCTGGAAAAGAGGTTGAGGCATGAGAGTAGAGTATGGATGTCAATTATCCCAGATGTAAAACAGGAAGCAAGTATTGAGAGAAAGGGAAAGCATAAGCTACTAATTATTTTGAAAGCAAAATAAAATATTAAAAATTGAGATCATAAATCCCAGAAAAGAGAAAATTGAAAAAAATAAACACATTGTCTTGAAGATTTAAAAAGCCCATTTTATTGAGTATAGAAACCAGCTGTTCACTTTTTTTTTCCTTTCTTGTCTTTCGAGGTCATTTCCTTGTGAGCTTATTTTTTTCTTGTTAGCTATAATCTTTAACAGTTCTTCCTGTGGGTAGTGGTACTAAAGTTCCCTAATCCTTATATGTGAAAATGTCTTTATTTTGCTCCCATTCTTGAATGATAATTTTGGTATTAAATTATAGGTGAATGTTTATTTTGCCTCAGAACTTTGTGGATATTAATAAATGGTTTGTTGACTTCCTTTGTGCATAAGAAGAACTCTTCTCTTTGATTTTAGTTCTTTTTTATTTTTATTTATTTTTATTTGGGGGGTATTTCTTTTTTTATTGTAGTTCTTTTGTAGGTAACTTGTTTTCCTCTTCTTCTAGATTTTCAGATTTCTCTCTCTCTCTCTCCCTCTCTCTCTCTCTATTTGGTGCACAAAATGAGGTACTGTAAATGTATTATTTAATTTAGCCTGATCAATGCATGATGTTTTAAGTGAAAGGGCTGAAATTTCTCTTTATTTTTAAATCATTAGTTGTAAAAATTACTTCTTCACCTTCTATATTTTTCTCATTCTTTTTAAAATATATTTTATTGATTATGCCATTACAATTGTCCTATTCCACCTTCATTCCCCTCCCCCTGCACACCTCCTCCCCCCATTCCCTCCCTCTAGTTCATGTCCATGCATCACAAGTTCTTTAGCTTCTACATTTCTCATACTATTCTTGCCTCCCCTGTCTATTTTCTACCTACCGTCTATGCTACTTATTCTCTGTACCTTCTCCCCCTTCTTCTCCTCCCACTCCCCAGTTGCTAACCCTCCATGTGATCTCCATTTGTATGGTTCCTCTCCTCATCTAGCTGTCCACTTAGTTTGCTTTTGTTTTAGGTGTGGCTGTGAATAACTGTGAGTTTGCTGTCCTTTCACTGTTCATATTTTTTATCTTCTTTTTCTTAGGTAAGTCCCTTTAACATTTCATATAATAAGGGCTTGGTGATGATGAACTCCTTGAACTTGACCTTATCTGAAAAGCACTTTATCTGACCTTCCATTCTAAATGAAAGCTTTGCTGGATAGAGCAATCTTGGATGTAGGTCCTTGTCTTTCATGACTTGGAATACTTCATTCCAGCCCCTTCTTTCCTGGAAGGTCTCTTTTGAGAAATCAGCTGACAGTCTGATGGGCACTCCTTTGTAGGTGACTGTCCCCTTATGTCTTGCTGCTTCTAGAATTCTCTCCTTCATTTTAATCTTGGGTAATGCAATTATGATGTGCCTTGGTGTGTTCCTTCTTGGGTCCACCTTCTTTGGGACTCTCTGAGCTTCCTGGACTTCCTGGAAGTCTATTGCCTTTGCCAGATTGGGGAAAGTTCTCCTTTATGATTTGTTCAAAGAAGCTTTCCACTTGTTGCTCTTCCTCTTCCCCTTCTGGTACCCCTATACTTTGGATGTTGGAATGTTTAAAGATGTCCTGAAGGTTCCTAAGCCTCTCCTCATTTTTTTTGAATTCTTATTTCTTCATTCTTTTCTGTTTGGTTGTTTCTTTCTTCCTTCTGGTCCACTCCATTGATTTGAGTCCCATTTTGTTTCCATCACTATTGGTTCCCTGTGCATTTTGCTTCATTTCACTTAGTGTAGCCTTCATTTTTTCATCTAATTTGTGACTAAAATCAACCAGTTCTGTGAGCATCCTGATCACCAGTGTTTTGAACTGTGCATGCAATAGGCTGGCTATCTCTTTGTTGCTTAGAAGTATTGGCTCTGGGGCTTTGAGTTGTTCTTCTGCTTGAGCCATAATGTTTTGTTCTGTTCATGTCTGTTATGTATGAGGGGTGGAGCCTTAGGTCTTCACCAGGGTGGGGCAACCCAGTGGCTGGGCTGTGATGCTGTATTTGGGGGCGGAATCAGAGGGAGCAATAGCATTTGTTCCACTCTCTCTCAGATTTAGGTCCCCTCTGCCATGTCCCACAAGCAAATTGGGCCCTTCTGGTGATGGTCCCCAGGTGGGTTGACTTGTGTACATACTCGGACCCTGTGGGTCTCACCAAGAAAGTCTCCTGTGAGGCTGGGAGCCTCTCCATGAACCTCAATCCCCGAAAGTTTTTCCAATTGGTGCTTTTAGGCTTTATTTTCTGGTGCTGGGGCTTTGCGTTGTGCGGTCTGTCTCCCTGTATGTTTTTTCGCCTAGTTTATGGGTCTGGATGAATGATTCGTTGTTGTCGGACTTCTGTACAGTTTAATTTTCCGTCTGTTTTGGTTGTGTTTTAGTTTCTAAATCTTTGTTGTCCTTAAATTTGGTTGTGCGAGGAGGTACAGTGTTCCACCTATGCCTCCATCTTGACTAGAAGTCCTGTTTTTCCCATTCTTAGAGTTATCTTTGGTGTATATTGTTGCTCTTCATTTGATTTATCTTCTGTGAGTTTTAATATCGCCTTTTTTTTCCATGTTGGTATCTTCTCTGTAGTGATACATTACTTCAGCACTGTCCTCCAGTTCATGAATTCTTTCTCTAACCTTTTTATGCTTATTGTTTAGGCCATTTATTGAGTTTTATTTGTTTTAATTTTCAATAGCTCTATTTTTCCTAAATATTTTAAATTGTATTTTAAAATATCTACCTGTTGCTGTTTTATAACTCTCTGGCATTGTTTCTTGGTATTTTATTCTCTTCTTTGTTCCTTTAAGGCATATACATATTTATTTACTTGTTATTTTTGATCCTAAATTTTTTGGTATTTTAAGTATATTTTATTGATTATGCTATTACAGTTGTCTGATTTTTTTCCCTCCCTTTATCCTGCTCTGCCCTGTATCTCCTTCCTTCTAGTATCTATTTTATCCCTTAGTTTGTGTCCATGGGTCATACATATAAGTTCTTTGGCTTCTTCATTTCCCATAGTATTCTTAACATCCCCTTTTCTAATTTGTACCTGACAATTATGGTCCTTTTTTTTTTTTAAATAGCACATGCAGGCAGCAATTCTTCTGTTCTGATATGAGTCACTGACACTCGCCAGTTCTTGTAGTCAGGGTTGTTCCTTGGTTAAGCAGGAGCTGCAGCTGCTGATGTCTATAAAGTACTTATAAGGAAACTTTAATTTAATTTAAATTGTTTTATTTTTCAATTACAGTTGTCCATATTTCC